TCACCTCAGTTTCTGCCAAAACTATGCAAAATTCGAATAAGAATTTGTTAAGAAAGTGGCCTTTATTTTAACCAAGGATTCAAAAAATGACGAAATATGCAGGGTGTTTTATTTAAAATAACAAAGTTTAGGTCGGGAGACACCCTGTATCACAAAATTATAATAGTTTAAATCTTCTGGAGAGTCCAAGGAACTTTTGTAAAGTCTGTTCATAGATATAAGAAAGTGACTAACTGATACGAATTAAGGAAAATATGGCCGAACAGGTCCGAACTTTGCTTAGAATTTAATTATTTGGGGTTTTGTTACGAAAGATACTAAACAATATTTATTTATTTATATATGTACTTATGTTTAAGTCTAAAATAAAATTACAAAATTATTTTTATTGCTTAATTAAATCACTTAAAATTATTCACATAATTTATCAGTATCTCTATCGCTATCATCGCCTGTTCTAATTATTATTTGTTCTATATTATTTGCGAATGTTATGCTTTTCCTATATGTTTAGCAGAATTTGCCCAACTTTGTGGAAGGATGTCAAAAACTTCGGTTTCTATAAGTTTGAGGATATTGGAGTTAACACTGGAAAAAGCATTGTTACGACGAATGGCGGATTTCAGTTGGTGCCTAATATGTTCAATGGGATTAAATATACAGTGGTAAGGTGGAAACCTTAAAACTGTATGCCCTAGAATTTTTGCATAATTATCACAGACGTATTCCTTTTTTAGGTTCAACCTTTGTAGAACCTCAATTAATTGCTTTTTGGTATAATCTTCGTGAAAATAAATGTCAGTATTATACATGTAGTTTTGGATTGTTGCTTTTGTGTCACATGAGGAAGGGGTTTTAGTCCACTGTCTACTGTGATAACTTGCATTGTGCATTACAATGACGCTATTAGGAGGAATGTTTGGAACTAGTTTGTTTTTAAACCAGCTTTCAAATAAATCAGCGGTGTTGTCTTCATGGTAATCCAGAGAAGAATCTTTAATATTTTTCGCAGACAGAGAAAGTCCATTCCAAGTCCTCTTTTCGATGGCGCGTTTATTTTATCAGTTGAGTCAACCCAACCCTTTTCCAGGGTATTATAAGTGTCGAACCAGGTTTCATCCAAGTACATAATTGGCCTTTATTGTTCTATGTAAATCCTATTTTTTTCTAGATATTTCTGTCGCCATTTCCCAATTCTAAAAGATTCCATTAAAACTTGCCATTTGTCAATTTTTTAAAATCTAAAACCCAAGTGTTGAATATACTTCCATAAGGTAGTTCTGCCACATTTAACACCGGTTTCATCTTTTTCAACCCTCCTAATTAAGATATCTAATGTAGGCACGCTTTGTTCCTCGTATAACTGGTAAATATTACGCCGTATTATATCTTGATCACTTTCGTCTACAGTCGAGAAAATGTCAGCATCGCTTCGTTTTTCCTCGCTGAAATGGGATTATTCACAATTTTCCATGCAGTTGATGTTGGAATTTTCGTCAATGTGGCCGTTTCTTATACAGATGCTTGCTTGCTGGCACCACGTTCAATGAGAGTCAAATAAACATTTTTATAACTTCCTTAGTCTTGATAGAACAGTGTTTTCTATGTTTGGGCGGGAGCATCTCCTGAGATACACTAGACTCGCACATAATTTGCATAATTCGCACACGATTCAACGCACGCTGTATTACGCACGAAATAAGAATGACTACTAATAAACTTAAACTAAGTAGTCTACCAAACCAAAGAATATTAAACATAGGTAGGTATAAAACTATTTTACCTGAATTTAAATTATGAAACTTTAGGTAGGATAATCCCATTCAAAGCAATCATTTTATTTGGCACACGGTGTACATGCGTCAAATCATCTGGAAGCATAAAAATTCGCAAAGAGCTAGGACAAATCACAAGCACCTTTCAAATTGGCACAGTACAGACAACAAACTATTATCTAACTGTCAGCGATTCGGATTGGATAGCGCTTGGCGATATTGCGCATAATCCTGACCGTAAGAAACTGTTTCTGACTGCGATTGGCCGGAACCTATTATACGAAAGCCGTCGGTCGATAAATCAAAATTAAGTTTGAGACGGAAGAAAAACTGGCCACTAAACTGTCGCGAATTAGGGCCGGCGAGTACAAAGCGCCTTTTAAAGTGTCATGGTTGCCACGGAATAACTGTAATTCATGCCTCCCCAGTTTACTACGTAAATGCCTAGGTGGCCGCGTATACAGTTTTATACAAAAATTGCTTCATAATTTTTAAACAAGTGACATTACATGCACAGCGTTTCGCATGCAACGTGTGTAGTGGGGTATTCGCGTTACCGTAAATTATGTTAGGTTTTATGTGCTACATGCCCGGGTTGTTCGGTTTTTATTTTGCACCCCGCGGGTCCGCTTTTTTGCGCCAAAATGGTACCCGGCGTAAATTTAATTTAGTTAAAATTGTTGCACGACTCGGAATGCAGATTTGTGTAAAGCATAGTTAAGTAAAACTTTAAAGCAATTTCGTGAAGGTTTATGGTATTATTACCTTAACAATTTATTACGTAGCTATAGGTGAAAGTGTCGTTATCAGATTTGAAACCCCTTATAGTCACTGGTTACTAAAAACTGGTATTACGGAATGTAAAAACGTATTTTTTCATTATTTTTAAATTCTGGCTACAAACGACTCAATTTTATCATGCAATATGTGATAATACTGTTCTATAGATCGTAATATTGTGATTTTGTTAGTTGGAGAACATATATTATTAATAATATTGTAATTTTGTAGTTGAGAAAGGGCATATAGAATAGAAACAAGACATCTTGCTAATCTAAAAATACAGTTTCTTTATAGAGTAGCTGTTACATACATATGTTCGATTAAGTTAGGTTATGTTGTACTTTTCGGACAAATATGTAGTATATAATACACGCTAGACTGGTGGCCTAAAGGCAGAAAGAACCTAATTACATACAAATACAACACAATATAAATCTCTACGCACAAACTCAACAAATTCATCAATAGAATAAAAAGAGTTACAAATTACAAACATTTTTAGATATTATCTTCTAATAAAATCAACAGTTAGGCAGTTTATCATGATTCTCTAAATGGAACAGACTCAACAAGGACACTATGAGGCCTAAGATGTCGGCATTTTATGACGACGCTCCCAAAAAGCAACAGTAAGATATATCTATAAAACCTTAGTTTTAGGTCAAAGTAGTGCTTTCGGTTGTACCGCTTGCTTCAGAAACTTAAATTTTGGAGCTTATTTTGAAAATAAAGATTTTAAAATGCCGCCTCTTCGTCGTTTGAACATAACTTCTCTTACAAAAAGTCTCTCTATGTCAACTGACTGTTTGTAATCGCATTACAAGGAGGCTTTGTTAAGTTATTCCTATTTAATTTATTCTGTAAACCGTAAGTAGCGTAACATGCAGAGTTTAATTTATTACACAGATTTCTATACATGCTGTGTAAAAGTCGTGTCAAGAAAGTTTTTGTTGTTATTTTGTTCCAATTTATTTCAAATTCAAAATTTTGGGCATAATTGTATAGATGGATGCTACCAAACTCAATTTTACTGTAATGTAATTTATGACGTAGAATTTTTTTTTATGTAAATCTTTCACTACACCCTCACTTGCTTAAACTAACTCCTAGGTTTTCTACACACTTCGAAAACTTAAATTTGTCGAACCTCTTCGTTAAAAACGCTCCAGAAACATTTTCTCAGTGAATACATACTGTATGAGCTTTATATCCACCATTCCTTACCAATTTTTTTGGCTCTTGCCTGTCAATATGTAAAAAGTCTCTTACCTCGTTGTTTGCAGTAGTTATTGATAAATTTGGAGCTTTTCTTTCGGCATTCCAAAATTATTTTTTTGATGTCATGTGAGTCGAACCTGCAATGCAATCAAGAAACCATTAATTTTCACTTCTTTAAACTGTAAAAATGGAATACAGCAAAGCATCTTCACTTTTGTTCTTGCGCTCTGAGGCGAAGTGTCCTTTCCAATGCACAAAAAACAATGAGGTCATTTGTAGCACAATACATAGCTATTGCGTAATTTTCTAAGGTTGTCCTTATAGAGTCACGTGTCACTTTAACAATTCCAATTATCATTGGTTGATAAGTTTCTGGCAAACGGTTATTAATATGGTGCCAATATCTCACCAATTTATATGGTTTTCTTTAAAAACTTTATGTATATTTTACTGGATTCATTAAGAGTATTAGTTTCGACTTCCCCTTTCTTCCGATCTTTTTGCATGACCTATCTCAATATTGTAAGTTTGTAGTTGTAATCGAAATTAAAACATGTGTTCTGCAATATTAACATTTATTGTTAAAACGCACCAGGTTGGTGATACAAAACCAGACTGGAAAAAGTTACTAATTTTAAATCGTTCACTACAATTTTATTTTAATAAATGTTAAGAAACAAAAGTGGTTTATTTTACGCGCACACTGCAGATACGGCTTGGTAAATTAAAAGTCGGAATGTCTATTGTAGGCCGGATTTCAATATTATGAAAGAATATTCAGGTATTTTTCTGGAAAAGAATATTTTCTTGCTAAAAAAAGAGGGGCGAAGGAAAGCGGAAGAAAGACCGATGAAAATACGCCACCTCTGAATAAGAGGATTAAGCTGGATAGGCCTCTATTTTGTCAAAAATTCGGGGTGGAAAAGTAATTAATTTGTTTTGTTGCGATAGGGACGACCCTATAATATTCATATGGAACTGTGGCTCCTTTATTGCTTCGAGATAAAGTCTGGAGTGTGTGCGCTTGGCTTGGAGATGATGATTAGCCGAGGGTGGGGCTACCAACGTAAATATTAAGGGGACGAATAGGGATGGGGTTGTATAATTGAATTGAAATGCGATTAGAATTATGATTCAAATGCGTGAAGATTCTATTGAAGGGGATAATATTCATATTTTGTTCGTATTTTTATATTCGATGGTGAATTTCGATTTTTTTTTCAGGATCTTTGCAAGCCCACATCAAAGTCGACCCTGCCACACTTCCGACGTTTTTAACGTCGAGCCAGGTCTTTAAGGTGAAAGAGTTGGACAGAGTCGTTTTGCCCTGCGAGGTAACAAACCTTGGTAAGCTTCTAATATTTTTTTCACTAAATGTTTAGTTCAAAAAAAAGAATTCATAATAAAATTAGTCTTGCTGCTCCCTACTCTAAAATAACCAATTATGTCCAGACCAAGCGCTTTGCCGAGCTTAGCACGCACCAAAATGCTATTTGTCATGCTTTAGGTATTGGGAAAGAAACTTAAATGTCAATTTGTGTGCAATGACTTGTCAATAGGTAAGCTATTAAAGTGATTGGGGTTTAATATGATTACACAATGAATTTTAGTCTTTCCTGGGTCTGTTGTTCCTTGAATTGTGTGTAACAATTTACAAGGTGCCAGAAATTGTCTCGCCTAACCACAGCCGAACTTGTAGTTGAGTTGCATTGTAAATTACAAACATTTGTGATCTTCTGTTGGAATTGATAAAATTAGGCGATAGAAAGAAACCGGCGTATATAATCCGTTTTATTCAAAAAATGATATATATTGGACATTTGGAGTCATGAAATTTTGTAAAATATATGTACTAGGTTCGCTGAATCTTAAAGTTTTTTTTCATTCTTAATAATTTATTCATGATTTGTAAATTATAAAAATGTGGAAATATCAGAAACAAAAATCCATCCAAATTGTCATATAAAAAAAATGCTATAAATCGTGGGGTTTAGAATGTTACTTACGGCATAAATTGAAAATGTATTGGAAAATGAGATAAAATATTTCTTTGATCCGGGCAAGCAAATCAGGCAAATATTGTGAGCGTAATTGCTAAATCAGATGTTTGTTGAAAAAACTTTTCACGGAAAACATATTTTCAGCCGTTGGCGCCGGCAATGAGGAAGTTTTTCGCTGAAAAAAAATCACAGACGCGGCAGTCGACAGAGTCAAACCGGGTGTTGCCGAAGGAAGTAAATTGGAAACTTATAATAGGTTTTTAAAGTGTATGAAACTTCTCCCTAAATATCTCTAAGCAGTTTTCGCTTTTTTCGTCAAAGCCGCTAGCTCCACCGCCACACCCTTACCCCTACCCGTTTTCGAAAAATTTCAATTAAAAACTTCCGAACTAATCCTGGGAACCGTCAGTAACTTTATTAAAAGCAGAAATTACGACAGGTAATATTAAAGCCTCCAAACCCCAGTTCCGGTTTTAACTAGTTTTACATTTTAAATTTCGCGGGCCCGATTTGTTTCAAAGGGTGTGTGTTTTTATCCGACGTATTTCCCCGCTTTGTGTTTCACCGGAAACACTAATTCTCTCGTCTGGCGATGATCAAACAGATGCAAATCACGCTTAATGTTCTCCCAATTATGCGCAACCATTTGAGCTAGGCCGACACAGCAAATTTAAAAAAAAATCATTAAAGTAGCACAAGTTTCTTGAAGGAGAGTTTTCAGTTTGTTGTTAGTTGACTTTTAATTACTAAAAGTTGACATATAGTTTCTAGTGAACTTAATATAAACCGGAAACGCAAAGAGGTGCTAGGAGAAATGACGAAAATTTTTGTGACTAAATGACTAAATGACATTCTTTCATATTTTTCAGAAATAAAAAAATTTTAGCTCACGTTACTCGGAAAACTAGCACTGAAGATCATAATTATAAAAATGCGAGAAATAAGTGACTATGAAATATTTAATGATTATTATTTTTATAACATATTTTTTTAAAAATATTAATACTTAATAAAAATTTAATGTTATGGCGTTGTTGTGAACACATAACTTTCAAGACAGAGAAAGTTATTCTTTAAAATATTCTAAATATTCGGGCACAATGACAAGAATTGTTTTCTGCATACTTTGTAAATAAATAAGAACTAAAAGTTCAGATTTTCTCGAAATTTATATATATATATATATATATATATATATATATATATATATATATATATATATATATATATATATATATATATATATATATATATATATATATATATATATATATATATTGTTTCGACAACACCATGTCTTTATCAAATGTAATATATACAAACTACCTGCTACTATATATACCGAAAAATGACCTTATTTAATGTTGTTGTCGGAACTTAAGTTTAATAATGGAGAGATATTTAAATCTACTTGATCTTTAAGCAATACATTTCAAAGTCTCATTTTGCTAATCTCCATGGTTTCCATTAAATTTAATTTTTTACTTTTTGTGGCTGTATGTAAAATATCAAAATTTTTGTCAAAAATGGGTTTTTCTGTGTTTAAGTGTGTAGCATAATTAGAATCTAGACTATTGTTTTTAAATCCTCTTTTATGTTCGTTAATGCGTTTATCTACCTGTAAACACCTGATTTAAAAAAAAAATGTATTGTTGTTGGTTCTGAAAGCTATTTTTAAACCGCATTTTGACAAATGTTTTGAAACTTTTTCACTGGAATCTCCTATATGTGTAATTGTTTTAAATTGTTCATGTTCTGTATTAGGTTCCGGATAAATAGAAATCAATTTTATCAATAATGGACGAATTGTAGCCGTCGTGCAGTGCAATTTGTTTAATGATATTAAATTCTTTGTTGTAATTTTCTGTTGAGAGTGGCGTAGTAAGAAGTCTGTGTAAAAGAGTAAAATGCAGCCATTTTGTGTGTATAAGGGTGGATTTGAGCTACCTATGTCCGTTAAGTCTAAAAAATGAATGGAGTTATCCTGTTCAATCTGGATAGTGAATTTTATACAATTATGTAATGAGTTACTGTAATTTAAAATAGAATTCAATTTTCTGTGCATTCCAACAAAGTAGTAGCACGTAGTTGATAAAGACACGGTGTTGTCGAAACAATTATCATGTCAAATTATATAATTTCATGAAAATCTGAACTTTCAGTTCTTATTTATTTTGTTAAAAAATAAAATAAATAAAATAAAAATAAAAGCCACCTCAGTTCAATGCATATTTTCTGCTTATTCTTTACACCGCAGTCGGTTTCAAATAATTTTTTTTTTCAAAGAAGCTTAGAATTTTGGAAATACAATTCAGGTGATTCATTTTTGACGTTGTGTTAGGTATTTCATCAAAACCATCACGTGACCTTACTATTAGCTTGGCCTTAATGGACATAGATACCTTATGTTCATTACTGCCTTTTTAGTAAATGGTTATCATTAACACCAGCAAGCTATTATCCACATCTATAATTCATTGAATAACATTTGCGCATTTGATAACGTCGATCATGGCTTGCTCCTACAATGTATGGGCATAAGAGGTCCAGCATCTGATTGGGTGCGTTCGTATCTACAAGAACTCACACAGCAGGTTGAGATCGATGGTATTTGCTCTACCATCCGCTCTGTTAATAAAGGTACACCTCAAGGATCTTGTTTATCACCTTTACTGTTTAATACGTTTGTTAATAATCTGCCTCTAAATTTGGTAAGCTTTGGTGTCCCAATTTTATACGCGGACGACAACAATATTATTATCACAGGTAAAACATGTCCTGAAATTTCAAATAAAAGAGTCCTTTAGAGTGATGACAGGGTGGTGCAGCGATAATGCCTTAAATTTGAACTCAGATCAAACCGTGGCCATGAACGTGGTAGCAAAGAATTTTACAGTGGATAGCAGTGTTTTGATGCGAATGTAGAACAAATTGATTAAAAATGTATCAAGTACAAAATTATTAGGTATATCTATACCCAAAAAATGACATGGCCCACTCATATACAAAATATAACACCTAAACTAAGCTAAGCTGCTCCTTACTTAAAAATATCAAAAATACTGTTTCTATAAAGATCCTTAAATTGGTGCATTTTGGTTTGTTCCACTCTGTCGTTTCATACGGACTTGTGTACTGGGGGCAGGCGAGCTGTATCAATGATATATTTATTATACAAAAAAAAATGTATAAGAGTCGGGAATTTCAACATTAACATTAACATCATTATATATTTATTCATTAGTAAAACAGAAAAGAAAAGACTTTATGTATGTATCCTACATACGTGGGAATTAAATGTTATAACAAAATTGCAAAGATCGACAAGAGCTTACAGGACGAAAATGTTAAAATACCACTGTTTAAAAAAAATCTTAATTCACTATTACAGCTAAATGTCACTATACAGAAGATGAATTCTATAACGACGACTTACCTCTGTAGTATATTGAATGTTAATCCTAAAGTTATATATTAAATATATTGTATAATTTTTGTGTGCGTATTTTTACTAATATTTGTTTGGTGAATGCGTATATTTGTTATGCATATATTTGTTGGTTTACATTTTACTGAAAATCTATCATAAAATGGCGTGCATATAATGTACAATCAATGTATCATAATTGACTGTAACATTCAAATGCGAAATAAAATAACATTGAAACATTGAAAGAATGAAGATGAAATGACATATTTTGGACGTTGTCGTCTCTGCTGGTAGCGATTAATAAACTATATAAGTTCAAAATATATCATTTTATCCAGATCTATCGTTGTCAACAAAGGCAAGCAATGAAATTATTGGTAGATGTTCTACATATGTAACATTGTAACCATCAAAGTATATCACAACCACTTAGATAATTTCCCTTCACACATTCAAGTCGTTTATTCCTTGAAAATATAATGAACTTTATTAATAACTTGATAAAATATTGCCGAAAAAAAAAGCTACATTAAACCTGAAAATTGTCGAATTGACCAGCTCCCCTGATGATAACGTCGCTATTGATTAAAATGTGACCAATCTCTCGATGCGGAAGATGAAATATTTGGTATTGGTATTGGTATTGGTATTGGTATTAAAGGGGGGCGCCCTCGCGGGCGTCCAAGCACTTAGGCCACCAGATGGGCCCGTTGTGCCCCCAGGCCGCTCTAGAGGGCGTCCAGAATGCCGCCCCTCCTGTAGAAGGTCAGCAACTCCTTTAGCCCAATACCGTGCACTGAGTCCGGATCGATCAGGGCCGTTCCGAAGACTCCCAATCTTGCCCATGTCAAGGCAGGGCACTCGGTGAGCAGATGATACGGGGTCTCCTCTCCTTCCATGCAACACCTACACTCCGGATCGTCTCCAATTCCTAGCAAGCAAAGATGCCTACTAAGCCTGCAATGTCCTGTGTAGGCCCCTGTTAGTGCTCTACACTCCCTTCTGGTCAGTCTAAGCAGCTCCCTGGTCCGAGGAAGGGCGGGCCCATCCATCATAAGCCTCGCCTGCCTCATTCCCGGAGCAACTCTCCAGCCCCCCGCGGCCCGGTCTCTCGCCCAGGCTTCGAGAGCTCCCCGCCTCACACACGGGGCGATCCCCAAGCGGGGCTCTGGCCCTATATGCCTATGCGAGGAACCCTCCCTGGCTAAGGCGTCCGCTGCCTCATTGCCCCGGATACCGGTGTGACCCGGGACCCAGACCAACGTGACCTTTCTCTCCTCAGCCACCCTCCTCAGTACCCCTTTGCACTCCTTTATCAACAAGGAGCGCATACGCACTGACTTCAGCGCCACGAGTGCAGCCCTACTATCCGAGCAGAAGAAGACTCTCCTGCTTCCGTAGTTGAGCCGAAGCACCTCTCTGGCTGCCATCAATAAAGCGAAAATTTCCGCCTGAAACACAGTGCAGTACTGACCCAGAGGGACCGACAAGCTTGATCCCGTTGGTTGATAAAATATTGCCGAAAAAAAAAAGCTACATTAAAACTAAAAATTGTCGAATTGACCAGCTCCCCTGATGATAACGTCGCTATTGATTAAAATGTGACCAATCTTTCGATGCGGAAGATGAAATATTTGCGAGTTGTAGAAAACAATATTCAGTTCGGGACGTTCCGGCGAGTCTTAAGGAACGGATCGGTTGTGTAACGGGAATATTAAACAAGTTTTAAACTGTTTGACGGAAATTCGCTAAGAGCTTTTCTTAGTTCGCCTCTCAACAATGCCAGGAATTGTAAAGTGGACTTTTGTTTTGTTCCGGATCACTTTCCGAATTAAAAGGGTCTAAATATCGGGAATACCTTTAAAAGCAAACACCCGATAGTTTTCGATTTCACAGAGAACATTTTTGTCGACTTGACGAAATAAATTGTGCACATAGTTTTCAGCAATATGTTGAATATTGCGTGTGACTATTTTTTTGATTCCGTGTGCACAAAAGTCAACGTTATTATTATTATTTTGCTTCCGAAGTAACGTTTGACATTTATCGATCATACCAATATCAAATAACGAGCATTTTTGCGTATATAATAATTTTTTATAAAATTATTTTCTTTACAAAGTGTTGTCGATTTAAAAACTTATAGCAATATGCTAAATTTTGTCCTCATAAGAAGTGAATTTTCTCTGCCATCCCAAAGCCTTGACCTAAATCCTTTGGATTTGTGTAAGTCAAGAGGCTGCTAATGAAATAAAAAGTAAATTGCTACTCTTGAAGTTTGGGAAAACGTATCGACGTAAATAGCTGCTTTTAAAGTATTTTTTTATTTGTCATCATTGGATTATTATTACAAATAGAGAACCCGTTAGACCATGTTGACCAGCGATTCAGAAATAGAATAAAAACATTTTTCTATAATTAGAAATCAAAAATTTTCGCACGCAAGCTTAAAGAAGACTTAAAGATAAAATTCAACGTTATATTATAAATAAACCTTTAAGAAATGATTTAATTATAAAACCCTAAGAAACTTAATTTGGTATAAAAATTTAGAAATAATATAAAACCATCTCAATGACAGCAAAGAAATAGAAAGTATCTTATTATGTTTAATAAAGAAAAGAATAGCACCTACCGGCCGTCTTCCTCTGAATAAAATTTCCTTCACAAAATCGTAATTGGCTGACGTACCTAGTCAATTGCAGTTTATATTGAGTTTACTGATTTCAACAGACAAAAAAGCTACATGTTATATATATTCAAGGAGCTATACCTAGTGCCTGAGCTACATTATAATGAATCGGCTTTCACACCTAGAAAATTCCCGGATACCTGCTTTTATGTTGCTACTGCGTAAATTATTATAATTATAGGGATTTTTAATATTTGAAAAAACAGCTTTTACTGTAACACATAAACTAAACTTGTGTTAGGCCCGTTCGAATTGATCGCCATATAAGAGGGATCTTGGACTTTTTTTTTTAATATCTTTAATACATTCATAAATATCAAAACTCAAAACCCGATATATAAATTGCAATAAATAATTCGAGTAGTGACACTCGACTATTCCTTTCAAACGACACTAAACGTCATACCGCTTCTTTTCGATCGTTACGGCGACATTTTATAGTGTTATTCTCAGGTTATAGGCCGAAAATTCTGTTATTTACGTTTATTTTTGGCTCGTGTAAAGGTGTGTTTCTATTTAATCTACGCCAGTTTGTATTTGTTTTTTTTTTTTATTTATTATTATTTTTATATACTATAAAACAGTATTTAGGTTTCCACTAATTTGACAATAATCCTTTTTGTTTTTTTTTTGTTGAATAATTTACATTTTATTTGATATAATATTTGAATTTTAAAAACTAGAAAACTTTAAGCTGATTACAATATTATATTGGTTTAAAACTAGCTATTAAACTTTCTATGGATATAACTTTTAGCTTTAACACCCCGAACCTCAGCAAAAGATAAACTTTCGGTGTTTTGTATGTAAGAGATATCACCATAAACATATACACTAAAGGTAAATTATCAGATTGATGTTTTAAAAAATTGGCTTCGGTCTTTTTAAAACTTTCTTTTTGATACTAAACACAAGATAACAAAAGCAAGCGACAAGATCAAAATTTAAATGAAAATTAAAAATTGATCCTCTATGCTACCGTCCGGCTGGCGCATAGTCAACTAGCGAATTGACGTCACAACCGGTCACAGCTAATAACAGCGCGTTTCAAAGAGGATTTAAGTTTTACAATTTTTAACTAGTTTTATTTGTTACATAGAACTACGAAATTATTTTTTTTGTTAATTGTGGTCCGTTTAATGGTATAAACTTTCTTTTATAAGCATATTTTTCAAATTAATTTTTTTTTCAAGCTCTCTATTACGTGTTGTACCTAAGATTACTGGATTTCCATTTCGTTTCCAATCAACTCTTGTACCCTGATCACTATACGACGCATTTTCCGAGTAACAAAAATCCGCAATAAAACATTTTTATTTCAGGACATTACGTGTTGGCGTGGAAAAAAAGCATCGCGGTCCTGTCAGCGGGCAGGGTGAAAGTGTCTCCGGATCCTCGTATTAATTTAGTTAACGACTACAACTTGGAGATAAGAGAGGTCGGGCCCCAGGACGCCGGAGATTACGTCTGCCAAATAGGCACCTTAGAACCGAGAGAAATCACACACACCCTGGAAGTTTTGGGTAAGTGAAACCATTAAAAAAAATTAAATATCTCTCCCACTCGGCCGACGAACACGGCGCCCTTAATTTGGGCGCACGCGTGGGTGAAATTATACTGCAGTACTCTTACTTTGTATCATTTTTCGTTGTCTGCTGCCGCATTAAAAATGTACTATACATTTTTGAATTGAACGCAATACGGATTATAGCATGCACTCGTCTAGTGCAGGTAAATGTTTTTGAAAAATGCGGAAAAATGGGAGAGAGATGGGCAATCTTTCTCCTCATTCTCAGAGACAAGCATGAGACGCGTATAGTTTGTTTCACAGAATATCGTATACCGGACAGGTAGCACAGAACATTAGGGATTTTAATAATAATATTGTTAAGGTAATTTATTGTTTATTTGTTAAATTACATCAAGAAAAATACAGGGGCATTGGCTATATACGAAATTCATAATTTAATTGCCATAGTATATATGGTGTATAGACATGTAAGAGTCCAAAATTTTTATAATTTTTGTATCTCTCAACTGGTGTGCTATTTTTTGGTATTTTTATTACATTTTCAGTACTGATATTCAAAGTAGGAATAACTTTTTGTACTCTGACTTTTGATTTTACTACGTTTCGTAAATATTTTATGGGACTAAACATACAGTGACACGGAGGAAGATGTCAAACAATAGGCCCAGCCTGTTCAGCTGAAATATCACATTTCACATTTTCACAATTTTGACAACCTGTTATGCATCTAATGAAATTCAATTTCGACGCGAAGTATTCTCTTAGAACAGTTTTTTCGAAACGCACAGTACAAAAAAGATTCGTTAGTACTGCTACTAATATAACAGCAAACATACCAATGTACCTAATGATTAACACTAATGAAATAACTGACTTACTTCTGTCTTGTCACTCAGATTTGAACAAATTAATTATTAATGGGTTGACCCAATAACAATAATTAGGTAAGGTCTGTTCATAGATATAAGAAAGTGACTAACTGATACGAATTAAGGAAAGACTCGGACAAGCTGTAAGAATGAAATATGACCGAACAGGTCCGTACTTTGCTTAGAATTTAATTATTTGGGGTTTTGTTAGGAAAGATACTAAATAATATTTATTTATTTATGTATGTATTTATGTTTAAATCTAAAATAAAATAACAAATTATTTTTATTACCTATTAAAATTATTTAAAATTATTCACAAAATATATCAGTATCACTATCGCTATCATTGCCTGTTCTAATTATTATTTGTTCTATATTATTTGCAATATGGATATATGATTTTTCTGCTTTTTCTATATGTTTAACAAAATTTGCTCAACTTTGTGGAGGGATGTTAAAAACTTCGGTTTCTATAAGTTTGAGGACATTGGAGTTAACACGGGGAAAAACATTGTTATGTCGAATGGCAGATTTCAGTTGGTGCCAAATATGTTCAATGGGATTAAATATACAGTGGTAAGGTGGAAGCCTTAAAACTGTATGCCCTAGATTATTTTTTGTATAATTATCACAGACGTATTCCTTTTATAGGTTCAAGCTTTGTAGAATCTCAATTAATTGCTTTTTGGTATAATCTTAGTGAAAATAAATGTCGTTATTATAAATGTAGTTTTGGATTGTTGCTTTTGTGTCACGTGAGGAAGGCGTTTTAGTCAACTGTCTACTGTGATAACTTGCATTGTCCAATTACGCTATTAGGAGGAATGTTTGGAACTAGTTTGTTTTTAAACCAAATTTCAAATAAATCAGCGGTGGTGTCTTCATGGTAATCCAGGGAAGATTCTTTAATATTTTTCGCAGACAGAGAAAGTCCATTTGGAATCCAAACATCTTTAGAGCCAGCATGCAAAATAGTTATTCTTTTACCTCTTTTTGATGGCGCGTTTGTTTTACACTTATCAGTTCAGTCCACCCAACCCTTTTCCGAGGTATCACAAGTGTCGAACTAGGTTTAATCCAAGTAAATAATTGGCCTTTTTTGTTCTCTGTAAATCCTATTTTTTTATAGATATTCCAGTCGCCATTTCCGAATTCTAAAAGATTTCATTAAAACTTGCCTTTTGTCAATTTTTTAAAATCTAAAACCCATGTGTTGAATACATTTCCATAAGATAGTTCTGCCACATTTAACACCAGTTTCATCGTTTTCGAGCCTCCTAATTAAGATATCTAATGTAGGCACGCTTTGTTCCTGGTATAACTGGTAAATTTTACGCCGTATTATATCTTGATCAATTTCATCTATACTCATGAAAATGTCAGCATGGCTTCTTTTTTTCCTCGCTGAAATACAGTTGATGTTGGAATTTTCGTCAATGTGGCTGTTTCTTCTAAAGATGCTTGCTTGCTGGCACTACGTTCAATGAGAGTCAATTGTTCTATTGTTCCTTAGTCTCAATACATTTGGGCGGGAGCATCTCCTGAGATACACTAGACTCGCACATATTTTGCATAATTCGCACACGATTCAACACACGCTGCATTACACACGAAATAAGAATGATTACTAATAAACTTAAACTAAGTAGTATACCAAACCAAAGAATTTTAAACACAGGTAGGTATAAAATTATTTTCTATTAGGGACCACAATTTTACCTGAATTTAAATTCCGAAACTTTAGGTAATAATCTTGTTGCATTGTATGTTAATGACCACCCTTGGATAATCCCATTCAAATGCAATTGGTCACTTTCTTATATCTATGAACAAATCGTAAGAGATTTATTTTATATAGTCCATCAAAACGTAATACGTTATACTTTTGTGATACACTATAATTGTATCTTAAAAATTGTCCTATTTTGCTTCATCCTACGTATTTTGCTATATAACCATCTTCCTCTAGCAACATAGAAGGCGACGCAGATAGAGATACTGCCTTAATCATTAATAACCAAGCATTCAGTGCTGGCCATAACCATATAGTACCGATTTATAAATCTTCAAAAATGTGGACAACCTTCTTTATCAACAACTTTTGCTTATTTAAATATCACTTTGGGTTTAATCAATTTTTCCTCCGTTAAGGTGCAAAAATTGTGTGTGCAATTTCAGCAGACCTCAAGTTGAGTTCAAGAAAACACCAGATTTTAAATATTCTAAACTAGATTTAAAATTAGCTGGTGCATATGAAGTACCTAAAGCAAAGATATATACTTCCTATCCTTTCTTTTTTTTTGAAAGATCGCAACACGTATCTTTTGCCTCCCGTTCTGCTTCTAATCGTATAAACCCCGAACAAAAAGCCAATTTTTATTGTTGAAAAGGTTTCGGGCTTTTCCGATTTAACGCCATATTTACAAAAGAAAATAAGCCCTTTTAATGTACCGTGTTCCATCATGCATACGCGAAATATGTGGCGTTTTCTGCGCGAACGGCCACGACTCGAGCTCACAATATCACACCCCGATGCACGCAGTCAAAGCTCCCTCTGGATGTGTCTTTTGATGGTTCACACTGACAAAAAAGTGTACGGCCCAATTCACCGCATTCGCATTGCTAAAATACACATGGCGCCGCATTAAGGAGCCGCGACCTTAGGCTAAATATAATATAAGTAAATAGGACGTTGGGAGCCCGGAGCACTAACGAAGATTTACTCTGTATGTAAAGTAGTATTAAAATTTTTATCGCCAAAGTCTAATTAAAAGTCATTTAAATGTCCCTACTAGAACAGAATTCATTTTAAAAACTATGGTAATATAAATAACAGAGTGTTGCTTTAAAATACATAAATTCTTCTAAACCGTGGTTGCAGAGATTTTCATTTCAGTATACATCTTAAAAATAAGTTTATATAAAAAAAAAGATGATTTTGAAGTTCAAATTTTTGAGAATATTTTTCATATTTATAATAACCAGTAAGGGAACGGAGTACGAGAATTGTGCAAAATTTGAGAAAATTTTGGAAATGGTAAAAAAATTAGGTAAATCGGACATTTAATTTCGAGTTTCTGAAAATCAAATTCCGGTTTCTGCAAGAGTTTTTTTATACTCACCGTGAATACTCTGTTGCTCCGAATCTTATTGAGAATAAAGGAGTCGTAAAAAATATTTTGCTAAGTTATACCGGGTGACACAAGAAAGTGAGAACACTAACTTGTAAACGGTTTGAGATAGCGAATTGAAATTTGGAATCCTTAATATAGGCTGAACGTCCAATTTTTTGACAATATGTAGCCAATGGTTGCACTTCCGGTTTGAGTGGAAACAGCATTAACTTTTGCATTTTAAATGGCACACCACATATATTTTTTTGCATTTTTGGATTCAGAAGATCATTCTACGTAGGAGAGGAGAGTTTTTCTCTTTTTTTTTAATTTTTATGTAATTTCTGAAAATTGTGTCTAGGTGGCTGTGACCATCATAAATACCGGGTCACCTGATCACGGGAAAAATTGTAAATGAAACTTTTCTTTACTTGGCTGGCAGCACGGGCCTGTCGAGAGTTTTTTTCTGCATTTCCCGTATATCAGAAATTCCATGATAATCCAAATCGATAAAACGACAAAATCTATAATCAGATAAAAATGTATAAACCGTCAGAATTTTGCATTATGCCGACTTGATTATGGATAGAAGCAAAGCCACCTAAGAAATACATTGTTTCTATAAAAATTCATTTAGTTTTCCTTGCTGTGAGCTTGATTACATTAAATGCTATTTGATATTAGACAAGTAAAGAAAATTTTCACTTATAATTTTTCACACGATCGGGTGACCCAGTAAATGGTATTTATGATAGTCACAGCCTCCTAGACACAGTTTTCTAAAATTGAATAAAAATTTTAAAAAACAAAAAAATGAGTAAAACCTTAATCCAAAAATGCAAAAAATATAGGTTTGTGCCATTTAAAATTCAAAAGTTACTGCCGTTTCCCGACAAACCGGAAGTGCAATCATTGACTACATATTGTTAAAGAATTAGACATTCAGCCTATATTAACCCTTCTAAATTTCAAATCGCTATCTCAAGTCGTTTAAAAGTTATAGAATGTTCCCACTTTCTTGTGTCATCCGGTAAGTGAAGCCATTTCTATTGCTTACCCGATCATCAGATGGTGTTTTCTTAATAACAATGCAACGATATGACTTTTTTACTTCAATAGGTCTTTAAAAAAGAGCTCCCCAAACCAGTACCACCCGCATCTCAACATCTTTATTTTAACCTAAAACTTGAATAAAAGAATTTAAAATTTAAAGAAAATAATAATTCATGTTGATTTACTAAATAAAACGGTTATGTATTATGTAAGATCAAAATAAATAAGAACTAAAAGACATGATAAAGACACGGTGTTGTCGAAACAATCGTCATGTCAAAATATATAATTTCGTGAAAATCTGAACTTTTAGTTCTTATTTATTTTGATTATTTTATTTATTTATTTTAATAACTTATTTTTTCATTAAAAATTAAAACAGTACCCACTCTGACTATGGTCACTATATGAAAATTTAGCAGAATCCTGGTTGTCGTTTCAGAACATTTCCATCTTTTTCGCTTGGCTCATTTACTTAATTTACTTTCTAATTTCTATTACTTTCGGTTTCTCGAATACTGTACCTCATATCCCTTATTGAGACACTGACAATATGTTGAGTTTTCCTATTGAAAGTTCCGGATCAAAAAAAGAAAAAAATTTAAATTTTCTAATTTTATGCGGCTTTAACTTAAAACTATTTTACTTAATTTACTTTCTGATTTATATTACATTCCTTTTCCCGAATAATATACCTCGTAGCCCTTATTGAGACACCGACTTATCGAACACTATATGTTAAGTTTTCATATTGATAGTTTTGGATAAAAAAAAATCAAATTTTCTAATTTTAACTATTTTACTTAGTTTACTTTCTAATTTCTTCCCGTTTCCCGCATAGTGTACCTTGTAGCCCTTATTGGGGCACTGAGTAGGTAACACTATATGTTGCGTTTTCATATTGAGAGTTCTGGATAAACAAATTATATACGGATATAACTTCTTAAAACTATGTTGCTAAATGCACCGTTGCCAAACCACTTCAAAACCAACTTTAAAATTTGGAACTGCAAACTTGAACATATTCTACTATTCTTCTTCTACATGTTATAATGGCGAGGTTTTTCTACCTAAATTTAATACTGAATAAAATACGAAACCGTTTTTTACAGTACCGCCAAAAATCGAGTACCTATCAAACAATGGTCGGGTGGAAGTCAAAAAGGGTTCGTCGGTCCGTCTAGAATGCAAGGGTAGCGGCAATCCGACTCCTAAAATTACTTGGTCCCGGAAAAACAATCTGCTTCCGGGCGGAGAGCAAACCGTCGTGACTTCGGTTTTGACCCTGAATAACGTGGACAGACACCAAGCCGGCACATACCAATGTACCGCCAGTAACGGCATCGGCGAAGATGTCACTCAACAAGTGGTCCTGCACGTTTTGTGTAAGTATAGAGTCAGCGCATTATTTGCTTCCTTAACTAAAATATTTAGAAACTGATTTAAATTTGGAAAGGTCATGGAATTTAAAGGTCAACCTGGAAAATTCTGGCGAAGAGTGTAAATTATCTAAAAATGTAAATTACCTTCAGGGTTTTGGTTTGGTTTGAATAAATATGTTTGGTTGGGTTTTATTGACATTCTTTTCCTAAAAAATAAGGACCTTCGAGACATATAGTTTTTGTTTGTTTCTTATATACTCTTATATATACTTAGCAGGCAAATTTTTTGTGATCCAAATGTTGCACCAAGATGATGTAGCATTTGTTTATTTGAGTGTTGTTCAGCCCTATTGAAATTTGAGAAGAGAAATTTAAAGAATGGTTAATAGCAAGTTGTATAAATAGTTAGCATGTTATATAAAACGCGAGTAGATGCAATTGGTTACACATTGGCCACCGTCCACCGTTGGAGGTCAGTATATACATGGATCTCAAAAATAGCACGACACAAAGGATTTCTGATACTGATACTGAGCCACACCAGTGGCTAGTTTGCAAGCAATTATATCTACTAGTGTTCTCAAAATACTGGCTTTTAAATTTAGCTCACTTTTTCTTTTTTTAATTTTGAATACATTTTAATACAAACTGCTAAATGGTCAACACCATAGTTATTAAAAGATTTAATAAAAAACGAGTAGAAGAACGGTGTAAAGTTGTCGCCCCCGTTCGTCGCCGAGCGATTCCCCTCTTCCTCTACTCCAACTACAAGCCCCGCACGACGGCCTACCTCAGAGACGCGCGGCGCGGCGACGAGAGAAATTCACCATTTTATATAAAAACAGTACATATTTTCTAAAATATTCTTCAGATAAATATTCAGATACGAACATTAAATTTTTAATGACGAATCATTGCAGTATATCTCCAAAAAATCTCGTTACTGTACACCCAATATTTTTTTAGAAACTGTTTTTCGGAAAATAGAAAATATATTTTTTAGTAAGATTCCGGTCTATGTGCAGCGATTGCGTTGATACCACTAACGTATAATTACGAAAGGGATATTCCGTCGAAATCTGAGTAAAGCAACTTGGCGATTAGGGCTTGAAATAAGCAAAAAACTGTTTTTGGTTAAAAAATCAATTTTTCAGAAAATTCTTTAATTGATAATAACGATTTTTTATTTTTGCGCCGATGAAAAATTTGTTGTTTCAATAATGAAATAGAAAAATTTTTGATTGTTTATACATTCAATTAATATTAATAATTTCAAGAATTTTATTTCACTAAAATTGCTATAACATATATTTTTTATAAAAAATTTAAATCTTCATAATCCTTTAGCATTGATGAATCATAGCTATTGAAAAATTATGGACACATGGCAAAAATAAACAAACTCAGTTTGGATACATTTGCATTCCGCAGTTATATGATATGATAATGGCGTTTATCAATATTAGATTTGAAAGAAAATATTGTGTCGCACATAGATCCAACTAGTCACATGACTAATACAATTGAAGCCAGAACCACATTGAACCAAATTAATTGCCCATTACAAAACTTTTCAGTAAAATGTTTTTTGCTTAAACAGTAAATCTTGGTCATGAACTGTGGTCCACTAGTAGTATAATAGTTTTGGTTAGTTGCTTTGCAAGTTACTGTATTCAAATTTTGGTGAAATATCCCTTTTATGATTATGTGGTGGTATCAACGCAATTACCGCACATAGGCCAGTTGTTAGCATATTTGAACCTCTAATCCCCAAGTTGCTTTATTCAAATTGTGATAAAATATTGCTGCACATAGACCGGAACGTAATAAAAACTATTTTCTATTGTCGGAAAAACAGTTTCTAAAAAAAATATTTCATGTATACCAATGACATTTGACGAACTAACTAATATGAATCTGAAGAATATTTTAGAAAACATATACTATTTTTCTATAAAATAAGCCGTCGGGCGGAGCTAGTAGTTGGAGTAGGGGTAGAGGGGAATCGCTCTGCGAAGAACGTGGATGTGGCTGAAGTTAGATTTGGATTTGGATTCGGATTTGCGAATTTTACAGTGGACCAGTTCGTTATTTACCTTAATTAAAAAAACGTATGCCTGTGGAAATGGCGGGAAATTAAGCAAGAACATATTGTAAGGGAACTCCCAAAAACCATGTTCAATGTTGCTATATAGAACATAACTCCTTTTCCGCTCGCATCAGCCCAAATATATTTCGCAATCTCAAAAAAATCCGACGTTGTCCCAGATATTGAATTATCCCATTAAAGAGCCACTTATGAAAGCTTCAAAATAATGTATTACTCAACCACCTTGAAACTGTCGGGAAGATATAAAACTAACACCAATAATGAAATAACCAAATATTCGTTTTATTTATTTCGGAATCTCAAAAATAGCTGACGTTGTCCCAGATATTGAATTAGACCATTGAAAAGTAACTTAGGAGAGCTTCAAAACGATGTACCAGTTTGAAGCGGTCGGGAAGGTATAAAACCACCCCCAATAATGAAATAACCAAATCTGCGTTTTATTTATTTCGGAAACGCAAAAAACCTGACGTTGTCCCAGATATTGAACTAGACCATTGAAGAGCCACTTAGGAGAGCTTCAAAATGATATACTACTCAACCCTCTTGAAGCGGTCGGGATGGTATAAAACAACCCACAATAATGAAATAACCAAATGTTCGTTTTATTTATTTCGGAATCTCAAGAAAAGCTGACGTTGTCCCAGATATTGAATGAGACCATTGAAGACTCACTTAAGATAGCTTCAAATTTATGTACTACTCAACCACCTTGAAGAGGTCGGAAAGATTTGAAACTACCCCCGATTACGATTCGTTTTCAAATAGTTGTCATATTTAAAATGTTAAGTTACACACCCTGTATATTTTATCATGTTTTATTCCTGTGTTTAATTTTAAGTTAATTTTCAAAAGGTGTATATGCCTGTCTCTTTTTGTTTCTGAATTATTTGAAAAAAATTGTAAAACCAGCATGATAACTTTTGCTCCTAATCCGGAAACGAATCAAATTGTTTTTTCTTAAAATGGGACATCCTGTTTGTCTAAACGTCATCAAGTACAGAATTTAGTCCCCTGTCGAATATTAGCGTTCCTTATACTGGAAATATTTAATAAAGAAACATATAAAACATATTGTTATTAATCCCAAAAGCTCAAATTTGTGCAAAAATGTCCTCCCAAAAAACTTTTAAGTAATGGCCCAATAAATATAAGAATGAAAAGTACAAATAAAATTAAGAAAATCTCCTGAATATAGCTACCATCCATGATTGATATATGTGTCTTTGTGGGTCAATTTCGAGTTAAAAACCAAATCTCTACTTTGATAATGGCGAATTTTAGGGGGTAGTTTTATATCTGCCCGACCGTTTCAAGGTGATTCATTTTGAAGCTCTCTCAAGTGACTTTTCAATGGTCTAATTAAATATCTGGGATAATATCAGTTTTTTTTGAGATTCCGAAATAAATAAAACGAATTTTAGGGGGTATTTCATAATTTTGGGTAGTTTTATACATTGCCAACGGTTTCAAGGTGGTTAGTTTTGGTTAGTTACAATACAATACCTTACAATATTTCCGTGCCTAATTTCACGGCATTTCCACTGGAACACGTTTTTTTAATTACGGCAAATAACGAAGTGGTCCACTGTAATATTCGCAAATCCGAATCCAAATCCAAATTAACTTCAGCCACATCGAACGTGGGTACGATGGTAAGTAGAAGAGGGTGTCCTATTTTCAACGTCTCCTCATGGAAACCTCCGTTATAATTGAAAATAGATTGAATTGAAAGCCATGTTGTTTAAAGCCCCGATTTCTCTTTTAATAATCTATCACCGCGTTAGATGCTTCTAGAGTTATTTAAATTTGAATTGTATGGGGTTCTGTAGGTGCAAATAATACTAGTGAAACCAGAAACTGATATTTTTTAGTAATATATAATTCAAAATACATAGGGATATCTGAAAAAGTAAAATAATGAACATGTTTATTATAATATTTTGGAAGTTTGTATATGGCGAAAATAAAATTTAAATTCAGCCATGAAAATATTTTTACAAAATCAAAATATCTTTCATATTAAGGAAGATATGGCAAATTATCCTCATTTTTTCCATATTGCTCAGCAATTACCAGATGTTATTCAAAACCGTATGAATTATATACCATTTTCAAGTCTCAAACAAGTATTGCAGTAAATTTCTTCGAATGTTTACGAAAACATATTCTTCTGGTATCGTGGACTAAAGGACTCTGTTTCAATCTCCTCCTTTATTTCACGTTTCATATGCCTTAATAATTAAAAAAAATCGTGTCACATTTTTTCGCAATTACACTGTGAACAATGCCCGTCCCAGTTTTCCTTTTTTTGCCGCAGGCCGCGCATCACCGTCGTTGTAATAAAACGTTTCAGTTTTCAGTAAATAAATGAATATTGGAAACTTTGCTATAATCCTGAAACAATTTCATGTAAATTTCTACTCGGGACATAAAAAACGAATGTAATTTTTATTTTTATGACAATATAAAAATAACCTAGCAAAAACTTAGCCATATTGGCGATATTAGAATTCAGTGAAACTTAGTCACGGAAAAACTTTGAAAGTAAAATTTTGAACGATCGTTTTGTTTTCATGTGAGTTTCATGTTGTTAGCTTCTTGCGGTTTATGTTGATATTGCTTTAAAAATTTTTCGTTTGATAGGTATCATTCGCGATAAATCCGAGTCTTAAACATTAAACGAAAAGGCTTACAGGTTCCAAATATAAGCAAAACAAATTGCTCTATTGATGGTTATTACTCAAGAAACATTAAAAAAATAATATTAGCCTAATATTAGCTGTTGATGCAAGAAATGTTTGTTTACCATCAGCAGCGCCTTTCGTATTCGAGACCTAAATACTAAACAACTTTACAGAAATCCTCATCTTTTCCAAAATATTCGCCAAAAACCGTAAATTTTTGACTTCCTCACATTGACACCATGTTTAACGAAAATCATTTCAAAACAAATGTGACACCACTGACTCACAAAATAAAGATGACTCTTTACACTACTGCCTGAAAATCCAACATCGTCGAAGAAAGTTCTAGCTAATCCAAATTTTGGCACTTCATCTGCCGTTCAGTTTAACAACATGATATTATGGACGGTTTAAATTGTTTATAATTACCGCCTCATTCGAGCAATGAACCTTCAATTAGTGCTATTAAAAAATCTTAATGTGAATCGATGTCGCATGCGTTTAATATTTTACCATGTCCGAGCAGGCTCGCTATCGTCAATTCCATCTCTTTCCGTATAAACAGAAGCCGGAATTGATGTAATCTATCCGTTGTATATTTCCCAGTTTAAAGGAGATTTCTCATAAAATATTTATACCCAGAAATGCACTTTGTCGTGATTTATGCGAAAAGGTTATTTTATTTACGTACACTTTGTTATATTTTGTCCTGCGGGTTTTTGACGTTCGCTTCAATTTGAAAAATTGCCCGCAATTCTCCGGCAGATTTATCGATAGTATGAACTGTAAAGAAAATAGAGTCTCGTTTCTCTTTGACTCAATTACGTGTAGCTATGTCAGTTCTTATTTGTTCTTCGAAGACCAGCCTAGATATAATACGAAGGGCTTATAAAAGTTATATAACGCTAGAGGCGCCTTGTTTATAACAAATTTTTACACAGGTGAAGTAAAAACTTTTATCGTAAAATAGTTGATTTTGGTTAGCGTTTGTATCTCCATATAATAAACTTTTAATATGGTTTTGAAACCAAAGTTATTCCGCAAAAGTAGTTCACACACAAAGTGTCTCCATAACAAGTCCTCTTATATTAATTTACCTTCATTCGAAATTGCTCGGTAATATTTTTGTGAATATAAGCTAATCGCTATGGTTGTTGTAGAGTGTGTCACACACACTGTGGTTCCGAATGGTCGTAACTTTATTCCCTGTGTAATTTCCTTATTTTTATTAAGGAAATTGTTTCTTCAATTTTGAATACAAAATTTCGCTTCTATCGTTGACTTTTCAATTTTGGGCAACAAAATATATTTGACTGGGTTTACTACTTGCTTGCTATAGCAAATATTCCGGAATGTTTTTTTAATTCAGCGGGGAAATATTTCCAAATTTGACGCTGTTTACCAAACCAGAAAAGAATACAGATTTCTGTATGTGAAAATTACACACTCCAAAAAAGTATCATTAAATGATAGTAGTGAATAAGTATAATATAGGCTTCCCCCACTCCTCTCCCTTTTGTGGGCGTATCCTCCTTCCCCACGACTCTCTAGCTCCTCCCCCTTTACCCATAATCCCTTGAAACTGGCTCCCATTGGATAAGCAACCAGAAATGCGGTTTAATCAATCTCCCCACCTCTAGTTTGCGATGGCGGCGAAGCCAATCAGAGCCCAGATATTTTCCCACCCCTAAGAAAAGCAATGGCGTCAATGAGACTTGATCATATTGTTCGCGTGACCATCTGCACCCCCTAGCGGTTCGAATGTAAACTAGTGTCCCCTCTTGGAATAAGATTTTCTTTAATAAGGTAACCCCACCTAGTGAATATTGACCAAAACATTTATTTTAAAAACATATAGTTCTGCGAATGTGTACCCACGCGGGTACAAACTGTACTTTTATTGCGCACAAAGGACAGGGGAAATAAAGACGAAAAGTGTTGGATTTCTTTTCTCGGAACTGGAAGCTGGCAGGCACCACCAATAATATCTGCAAAACAAAAAGCTGGTTAAAATTTTCATTAATAAAGTAGGATATTAGAAACCATATACCTTTTTAATTTACTAAGCAATCTACCGTGCGTTAACTTCATACATATTTCCGCATGCTTCTGTTTTAAGGTATCGTGAAATATTTGACTATTTATCTGGGAAAAGTTCATATGTCGAAAATATTATGTGTATGTGGCCGTGGTAGGCTTTCTTTACTATTATAATTTTATTTTTATTATTTAATATTTACAAAATTAATTTATCTATCTTATTGATGATTTTGATTTTCTTTGCTATTTTTATTATTTGTTTTTATTATTTAATATTTTCAAAATTAATTTAATTTATCTATCTTATTGATGATTTTAAGATATCGCAGTCAACTTTACTATTTCATCAATTTCTTTTATTTATTGCTGATCTTTGAGGATAGTGTACATACTTTTTTTCGTAACTTATCTGTATCTACCCTTTAATTTCCTATCAAGCCATAAAGCAAACTCGAAAGGCATCTTAACTAAAAAGTCATATACTTTAAAGCTGCTGCGACTACTACATGAAAGTGTGTTTCTGTGAAATCTCAACAATAATGAAATCTGGACGCTTATATTAAATACTGTAATACTCTTCTCTGCTAACGCTCTAGGAGACGCTATTTGAACCCTGTTCAAAGAAAAACTTCTACAGCCCAAATAACCCCTCTGAACCACACTTAAGCGCATCACTCTTTCACTGTCTTGCAGCCTTCAGATTAATATTCCGTACTAACTACGTATGCCATACACGAAACGTTCTCTTTTCTAATTTTTTTCTATGCGCTACATTAACGAACAGGATCTAAACTTTTCTGTCTGTGTATTTTGTTAGCCACCTTAAAAAAATTAAAAAAAAGGTATGCGAACCTAGAGGATATTTTCCATATTTTTCACAAATGGTGACAACAATTAATGCAAGTATTATTTTTAATAATAATCCATCTTTCGCTATGACACGAAAACATCGACTTTTTAATTCTAACTTTTCTCATAGAGCTTCCCTTTAGTCTCTATCTGTTCTTTAACTAAATCCCCACCTTTTTGAAAAACCAACCTCTAAAAATAGTTAATTTTCTCTAATTTAAATTTGTACGTTTTCCGCAATATGTGTGAATATTTTCGCTAGAGCATTTAGTTACTTAGTACATGTCCTAATCAATATTTTAAAAATATAATTCTAATGATACGTGTTTACGATTTGAAGATAACGAAACATTCCCCAGTTTCATAAATGAGAGCTCACTGCCAAACTACCAAACATCACAGTACAAACTACCGTACTACGCCCCCTGGACAAAATCAGGTCAGTCAGCGTCATTAATTCTACCTGCGTTAACGAATAGCGTATTGTTAATTATGGTTTAATACGCAGAAAATTTAAGTAACAAATAATTGCAATGAAACTCACTAACATCATAAATTATTAAAAAAAAAATTAGAACAGTTGGAATTTACTGGAGTAACCAATTTGGCACTAAAAATGGAAATTTTCGATACTCTACTAGGTGCCTACAATAAATTTTACTATTATTTTTTAATGCAGAGACACAACGATTTTCTAGTTCTGAATTTGATCAGGGGTATATGACCATAGTTTACGCCGACTCTAAAAGGCATGCAGTCTATTGTTTTTGAACGCCCCCATTTTGTGTATTATGTTCAAAACAGAGACTCTCTGGGCTTACGACTACAGCTACCAGCTACTACTTTCAATAATATTAACACAAAAAAAGTAGGTGGCATTTCTATAATACGTGCAAAGTTTATGTGAAACTGACTGGAAGACAGAGTAATGCACCAATATGTTACTAAACATATTTCGATAGAATTCCGTAAGAGCTTACCTCCAAGTTTCCTCATTTAGTCAGTCAAAGCATCAAATGGGAAATTCCAATCCAACATAGGTAGTGGTGGAAATATATCAATCGCCTACGTTACCGATGGTACCCGACTGAAGCTTCTGCGTCTTCTTTACCCCACATGCCTACTTAAAAGATACTGGTCTAAGTCTCAATATTCCTGTTAAAAAAAGAGAGGTTCTATATTGCCATAACTATGTGTTTTCAAAATTTTACCTGAATGGTTCGTGATTCCTTATATATGCAGTGTTGGCAGCAATGTGGCGACGACTACGCTGAAACTTTCCATATCTCGTGTCCCCATGACTGGTCTGTTTCATATATCAAACCTCACCTCGCACGGGTTTGAACCTCCTTTAAAAAAAAAAAAACAGGCAAGACTTATACTTATATCAAAGTAATACGAGGAACTTATATTTTATGCCAAAACTTATTTCATCACCTCCAAAGGGGAGTAGGGGTTTCTAAAGTATGGTAGGTACATCTCTTTCATTTTTTAATTAAAAAAGTGACACAATTACGCGACGTAACTCGATCCGGATCGTTAACGCGTCTCAAGATGGGGGTTTAGAGATGCTGAGGTCATTAAATTGATTCACTATTACCAGTACACACTGAAACCCCTTATTTCCAAAATAAAAAAATTGTTAACTGTTAACACAACAAAAAAAACTATTTTCTCACCAATTATATTTCTGGGTCGTTTTCAGAATTTGTCCAACGTAGAATCCCAAGAGGATAGGGCCGCAATTTCGAAAAATGTTCATGTCTCCCCACTATGCATTTGTACAAGAAGCAGGGCCGGATTAACAGCAATTATATTCTTGTCAGTCAACATACAGCCGCCGATTGAATTCTCGGATTCTGCTTTACTAGTTGCCATGGTCTGTCAAATATGTTACTTAAAAATTGTATATTTTTTTTTACAAATAATATACCTTTCCTAAAATAATTCCGCCTTTGTCAAGTGGGACACGGGCACGTCTGTCCGCTTTGAAAAGCGCAGGCGTATGTATCTTCCAAAATGATCCAAGCAGGCCCGGATTGCCAGCAAATACACAACTCCCCGATTCAATTCTGAGATGTTGCTTCACGAGTTACCATGATCTGTCAAATATTTTAATTAAAAAAAATCTATTATTTAGCAACAATATACCTTTTTAAAATAATTTCGTCTTTTTTCAAGTTCAACAGGACACGTGTGTTCGTTTCAGTTGGACAAGGGCACGTCTGTCCGCTTTGAAAAGCGCGGCGTATGTATCTTCCAAAATGATCCAAATTGTTAACCTTTTTTTGATTCCTCGTTCCCCGATTCAATTCTGAGATGTTGCTTCACGAGTTACCATGATCTGTCAAATATTTTAATTAAAAAAAAAAATCTATTATTTAGCAACAATATACCTTTTTAAAAATAATTTCGTCTTTTTTCAAGTTCAACAGGACACGTGTGTTCGTTTCGAAAGGTTTCGTAGTCTGTAGCTCTGTCGAATTCTCCAAAATTCGTTAAACCTTCAGATATTTTCAAAATTTGTCCAACGCAGACTTCCACTCACGCAGTTTCGAAAACTTTCTGGTCTCCCCGCCATGCATTTGTACACGAAGCCGTTCTGGACTATCAGCAAACAGCACATCCGTCATTTTTCTTCTCGGATTCCGCTTGACGAGTTACATCGATCTGTCAAATATTTAATGTAAAACAATCTTATCTATTACTTTTACCCAATATTAAGTACCTATTCAAAATTAGTAGCGCCTTTTCGAGTTCGAAAGGCTTCGTAGCCTATAGCCCTGCCGAAATGGCATTGCATTTGTACACGAAGCAGGGTCGGATTGTAAGCAAACAGCACCCCGGTCACTTTTCTTCTCGGATTCTGCTTGACGAGTTACATCGATCTGTGGAATATTTAGCGTAAAAAAAAATTATCTATTACTTTTACCAAAAATGAAGTACCTATTCAAAATTAGTAGCGCCTTTTCGAGTTCGAAAGGTTTCGTAGCCTATAGCCCTGCCGAAATGGCATTGCATTTGTACACGAAGCAGGGTCGGATTGTAAGCAAACAGCACCACCGGTCACTTTTCTTCTCGGATTCTGCTTGACGAGTTACATCGATCTGTGGAATATTTAGCGAAAAAAAAAATTATCTATTACTTTTACCAAAAATGAAGTACCTTTTTTCTTTAAAACAGTTCGTCCTTTTCGAGTTTGAAAGGTTTCGTAGCCTATAGCCCTGCCGAAATGTCATTGCATTTGTACACGAAGCAGGGTCGGATTGTCAGCAAACACCACAAGCGTCACTTTTCTTTTCGGTTTCCGCTTGACGAATTACATCGATCGGTCAAATATTTAATATAAAAAATATCTATTTTACCAAAAATACGTACTCTTCTAAGATAAATTAGCTCTTTTCGAGTTTAAGAGGACACGTATGTCAACTGTAGGATGTTTTATTATTATATTTTCCAGTGTCTATAAATTAATAAACAACAGAAGCTTCCGAATACAAAAATTTCAACATGAGTTTTTTTTCTTGAAATTTAAAAGTTCTAACCCCTAAAACCATATTTTAATACGCTGGCGGACGTATAACAATCCCCAAAAATTACCATATTTAAATTGTTACTATTGATATATTTCTATTCCGAACTTAACTCAATACATGCAAAAAAAAACTAGCGAATGTTATTTATTATCTCCGATGGGTGGATGATTGAGAAACGTTTAAATAAATCTACCTTTCTGTCTCTCTTTCTCTATATAGGTCACTCATTCTCTCTATCTGTTACTTTCCACAATCCGAATTTACACTTGGCCCCCCAAAAATCTTGTAAAATTTTATCTGCTTAACTTCTTCGCGTTGTTCATATGGCTGAATTTTTTGGGAGATATATCGTGCGTTATTTCTATTAAAATTCTGTTTCCTTTTTACCTACTTCAAAAACGTAAGCGAGCATTTTTGGTTGTTTTATTAAACAAAAATTGATACTAACCAAGATCCGTATCTCCGACCTCAGCTTCCTTTGATCACTCCCCAATTTTTTTTAATTAAGTATAGAAACCTCGTCGAACATATACATAATACTAGGTCAAAATGTTACGCGGTTACTCATTAAAGTCGCAATTCCGAAAGCTTCTTACCTATCTTTTTCCAGTCTTTTTTGTTTTATTTATCCGTATATGAAACACACATTGAACACAAAACTTAAACTCGTTGGCGATATTGCATTAAGCAACAAACGCGTATAACAGAAACGAACCCTTAACACAAACGCTTCTTTAAACTTCGACTGACACGTGAAACAACCCGCATTCCTACGAAAGGCAGGTAAACCAAGCAGGTCAAATTTTAAGCTACCCTCCAGTGTCGTCGTAGGTTGGGGCATAGTAAATAGCGAATACAACAAAGCGGTAATTTATAATAATTTAATTTGCATTTTATTTAACTTAAGTTGTTTTGTAGAAAATGAGACATTTCTACAATTAATCAATATACTACGAGTACTTTTCCGCTTAATTACTATTTTTGAGAAACAAAAGGAAACGTTAGATTCCATTCAAACTTTTTCGGTTTTCATGATATCTCGCGTTTATTTAGAAGCTAATGGCCTGTGGCCTTAACCAGACGTTTCCAAAGCCTGGTTTGATATTATGTATATAAATCTTAACAAACACGAAAAATAGAGTTATATTGCCACCGAAAATCTGAATTTATGTTTAAAAATGTAACTTCCCGTATTTAAACTATTGCCTGCATTGGCGCCTATATTTTATAGTTTTTTTTTTGTATCCTATTTTTTTTTGTTTTGCTTGCAAATGTGTGTCCATTTTTCGGGTACTGAATTTTTTTTTCTCAAATTATTACAAATTACTCAAAACGGAGTTAAAAAGAGACGAGGAGAAAAGGGTAGAACCCTTATTTCTCCGACACTGACCTCCGATGTTTATAAAAATTGACCCCTTGACACCCTCCCCGTGAATATTTTACAAAGGATTTTTAAAATTTAACTTCCAAATAACGCATACTCTCGCCTAGTGTCACAGTTTTGGGCCCCATTTTGCTATGGTTAGACAGGTTTATTCTTGTACATTGTCGGGACAAAAGAAGCATCTCCTTCATCCAAATTGACTTTTTCATACCTAATATAACAGCTGCCGGGCATCATCTCGCCTTAATTGTTTCTATTGAATTAATTTTAGTTACAAAAAATTAGATGATCGACAAAATTGGCATAAAAAGATAATCAAGATTTAATTAAAACAAGAATATGCACAAAAGAAAAGAGATAAACTCCGACACGGGAAACAAGGAAATATCGCTGAAACGGCAATTGATCTAGCGCGCGCCTTTTTTAAAAATAATAATTTTTCAAAAGAATTCTAGGCTAAGCTAAATACCTGGTGCAACAAAATATTGAAGGATCTTCATGATCCTACCTGTGAGCGAGTAGAAAATTATTTGCAAAGAGGATAAAGGTATATCTTAATATAAATAGTTTCACTATTGATAATATGTCCCCTTTTAAAATGGCGCATTATTTGATACGTACTTTTTTCTTGTCAGAGCTTGTCTAAAAAAAAAAAAATCGGGATGGATGGAGGTTCTCCGTCAGGTTTTTTTCCTGTCGAAACAAGTATGTGCGGCGTTCGCTTTGGATCTGGGGGAATGGGTGGGGTTATACATATATAAGCTATAAGAAATTTTAATTTTTTATTCAGTTTCCACTCATACAATTTCGTGATAAGTGCAGAGTGAGAAAAATGTCCGAAGTCGAAAATTATCCAACGCAAGCATTGGATTCGTGGGGAAGATTTGTGGTCAATGCGGAAATAATCCGCGAACAAAAATACATTTACGAGGCAGCAATTACGCTGCCGGAATTCGGACTAGAAATTACCTCAGGTCTTAGCCCAGCAAGAATCTTCGCTCCGGCAGTGAAAGTGAGCTTTATCCCCTACGTTTTGGCGGAGAAAAGAAGCATTTCGTTCGACGAGATAGACTTCACAGAATTAATACAACAGCTTCCATTGTTATTGTTAGCAGGCCCGACTGGTAAAGTTATGTATTTAACCTGCTTCAAACTCAGCTGTCTACAATGTGATGGTGAAGTCTTGGTCAAGATTGAAAATAGCGAGGGTATACTCTATATTTCGAAAGACTGGGTACAGAAATTAATTACCATAAGCAAATTGGTATTTAAAAGAATACGAGTACTGTCTCGTTTGAACTTTTACGAGTACTACGATAGAATATTGTATTTGACTATACATGAAAATTTACTGGAAGACGCCAAAATCTTTCCGCATATAGAATATTTATGTTCTACAGAAGAGAGTGAGCAGAGCTACTGCATGGAGGACTACATGCGTTTTGGAAAAATGCAGATAAAACAAGATATCAACAAAAGGATAGCATGGGACATACCTGTGTTTTAATAGAAATTTACCTGTAAACTAATAATAATAAATGTATTTTTAAAATTCAGTGTGTGTGTATGTTTTATCCTTACCCCCATAAAAAAAAGTAAAAAAAAAACAAGTAATTGCGTAAAATAACTTTATTAAAGAAAAAAAAATAACAACAAAATATATTCAAACAAAACATGGTACCACCGGAATGAAACCATCAGAAATTACCCCAACAACGGAGATTCTCGCATATAATTTACCAAAAAAAATTTGCAGTGCAAAAGTCAAAGTTCAAAGCTGGCGATGCAGTGAGCATAAGTCGCACAAAATCGGTTTTTGACAAAAGCTATGAAATTAATTGGACACCCCGAAAATTTCAAGATTGTTAAAGTAAGTGGTTCCTTCCCTCTTACGTATATTTTGGAAGATGTGGAGGGGCGTTAAATCAAAGCTTCGTTTTATGAAGTCGAATTACAAAAACCGTACTACCAAATAGTCGAATCGACTATTTGGTAGTACGGTTTTTGTAATTCGACTTCATAAAACGAAGCTTTGATTTAACGCCCCTCCACATCTTCCAAAATATACGTAAGAGGGAAGGAACCACTTACTTTAACAATCTTGAAATTTTCGGGGTGTCCAATTAATTTCATAGCTTTTGTCAAAAACCGATTTTGTGCGACTTATGCTCACTGCATCGCCAGCTTTGAACTTTGACTTTTGCACTGCAAATTTTTTTTGGTAAATTATATGCGAGAATCTCCGTTGTTGGGGTAATTTCTGATGGTTTCATTCCGGTGGTACCATGTTTTGTTTGAATATATTTTGTTGTTATTTTTTTTTCTTTAATAAAGTTATTTTACGCAATTACTTGTTTTTTTTTTACTTTTTTTTATGGGGGTAAGGATAAAACATACACACACACTGAATTTTAAAAATACATTTATTATTATTAGTTTACAGGTAAATTTCTATTAAAACACAGGTATGTCCCATGCTATCCTTTTGTTGATATCTTGTTTTATCTGCATTTTTCCAAAACGCATGTAGTCCTCCATGCAGTAGCTCTGCTCACTCTCTTCTGTAGAACATAAATATTCTATATGCGGAAAGATTTTGGCGTCTTCCAGTAAATTTTCATGTATAGTCAAATACAATATTCTATCGTAGTAC